GCTGCGGGTAGAGCTGGCGGCAGAGCGCGCGGGTGGCAGCTCCCGTGTCAGGCGGGGAGCCCGCAGGCACCTCCTCGTGCCCGCACACTGGCTCCAGGCCCTGCGTTCTGGGGCAGAAGCCTGGAGACACCAGGACCTTGTCCCCAGAGCCCTGTGCGCCCGCCATGGGAACCAAGGCAGCAGGAGCAGGTGCCCGGCAGCGCCCTGGGCCAGGTGTCCTCGAGGCTGGACAGCGGGGACGCCTCAGCCAAGCAAGGGGCCTGGCTTCCTTGGTACCTCATGGCGACTTCGGTGAGCATCATTTGCTGCCTCACAGCAGTGTCCACGCACTCGGTGGGCACTGGGCACAGCAGCATCTGCAGGGACAGGCACAATGGGCCTGGGAGCTGGCAGCGCCCGCGAGGAGCATTGCGGGCTGGGGGAGCGCAGGTGCCCCCAGTGCAGCAGAGTCCCCTGGTTGTGCCGGCCCCCTGGCTGGGCCGCTCTCCAGGGGGTTCCTGGAGCTGCGCGGTGGGAAGCTTTGTGCCCACATGGAGGGCAGCGCCCCATACATATTCACGTGTGTCCTTAGGTTCATGCCAACACCCCGCTAGCAGCTTTGTGCCTGCCCTAGATCCCTCCTTTCATGTGTTTGTGCCCCCCAGTTCCCTCTGCTTAGAGGCACATTTAGTGCTTCCTAGATTGTTCCACTGGGCTCTGTGGAGCTCCCCTAGTGCCTCTCGTGGCAGGTTTTGTGTGCCCTCTTCTGAAATCCCAACATATCAGATTCTTTGTGCACCAGACCCCTGCATGCCTCACTTCTGACCTCCCCCACATTTGTGAAGGAGACATGGATGCAATAAGAGCTGCAGGCAAAAAAGAAGTCCTCTCAGCAGCAGCTGCAAAGGCACAGGACACTCTGACTAGCGAAGGAAAGATCCAGCTCTGGATTGGTGTAACCGGTGACTCAGCTCCAGGAAATCATCTTTCCTCAATGCTGCGCGTGGCCTAGAGGAATTTGAGGAGGCTGCGGCTGAGATTGGTGCGATGGAGACAACGGTGGATTGCCTCCTTTGCAGAGCGCCTCGAGTTCTGGTGTCTGCAGGTACAGCTTTCTGCAGCACATTCTTCCTTTCGAGAAAATTTGTCCCTGCTGCTGCTGCTGCACATGTGCTG